AAACTGAACCCAACGAGCGAATGGCTACTTGCTTTGCGGATTTTCCAATTTTTATTAGAAAAAGCGTTTGCTGGTTTACACTTCTGCTAAGAGAGGGTGTGTGAATCCGCAAAAAAACATTCACACTGACGAGGTCCAGTTGCAGCACTGAACAGGAGTGTATGCGACTTAATGGACCGAAACATTCCTATTCAGTTTTTTAATCCGATTTATCTTATTCACCTTCCTTTTATTCCTTCCTTTTAACCCTACTTTTTACACAAACACACATCATCTAAAATTAAAATTACCATTCAGCATTTATGTGCCGCAAGCTAGTGCGCTAGCTACAAAAACATGCAGACATGTGTCGGGCGAGGTAAAAAGAAAAAAGAGCACAGATTCAGCGCTCACTTTGTTGGAGTGACTTTCCCCCACTGTTTCCTCAAGCCTCACAAAAGGCGGCTTATTTAAAAACCTGCATTCGTTCAGCTTCAATTCTACAGTTACACGGCTCTCAAAAATTTCTTCTGATATCAGTAGTACAAGTCACTTTTGTTTTGTAATTCGCAAGCTACCGTACCAGACAAATTATTACCTTGTAGAATTTACCGTTGATTGAAAGTCATGATTGCGGTACCTTACTGGCCTCAGCTTGTGGGAATGCGGTCCAACTTTTACCGGTTAGAGTCGGGTAACGAACGTGAAAACGGGCACCAACAATTTGGCCGCTTATCCAGTGGTAGTTAGTGATCGTGGGGTGGATCATCAGCTCCGTTGGCAGGTCGGGAAGGGTACCGGGGCGAAATTGGGAAATCTGCTGAAGTCGATTTAAAGCACAGAATTTTCCAGGTGCGCTATGGACGATGAAATAGCTGAATCGTGTGGCATGATGACCGCCGAGTGGTTGAATGAGCAGCTGGCTGATTTCATGTACACATTTGATAACGATCCTGGTGGAGTGTTCGTTGCAAAAGGTTCATTTTTCCATGCGTTTTAGCGTATGCATCTTCGTGATGCGCTGCATTTT